ATCTTTCCCACAGCGGGAAGCCACAGTGGCCAATTACAGCGCAGCATCTGGGCTAGCACACAATTATTAGTGCACGTGTGTGAGTGTGCGTGTTTCTGTGCATGTGTGTGTCTGTTTACAGAGGGGTTGTGGAGGTTCAGGCGGAGTTCAGGTTATTCACATCTCAGGATGTAGAGTTTCAGTAAATGGTGCAGCGTGTGTGCAACAGTGGCGCGGCTTTGTGTCACAGCGGCAGAATCTAAACACACACCACCACGAGGACGACAGAGCTGGGGAGAATTAGAGGCACGGAGATGAGTAAATATGGAGAAGCAATGGAGACAATGATGAGAATGGAGACGGCACTGCAAGGAAGTAAGGGCAGGAGAGAAAAACCAAATAAAAGCTCTAACATCTCCAGCAGAGATATGATACATTGCTCTCTTTTCTCTCTTTCTTTTTTTTCCCCCTTCCACACTCTCAAAAAAGAATGCAGAGCGAAAATACAAGCCCAGCAACAAAAGGTACAACTCTGCACATTTTTAGTCTGTTGCATAATTCCCTCTGGAGTCAGTGGAAAACTAATTCTGTTTGTTTTATTTTCTCATTTTCAATTAAACCACTCTAAGATTATGATTGCTTTTCAGACTGGATGTTTTGGATGCAGGTAAGCTGGTTGTGGGTCAGACTTCACCTGAATTTCATTCAGATTAATTAAATTGCTCGAGGGGGTTGAAATGCAAGAGCAGTTGCAAAGTTTCTGCCCAGATATAGTAGCAAATTAATATTTTCCTTCAACAAGTCATTTAAAACAAATTATTTATGCCGCTTTACTTCCATTAATTATTGCAGTCATATTGGGTGTTTTTTGAGTACTTAAGCTTAACAACACAAAATCTGATAATAACATGGATAGACTTAATTCTGTCTCCACAGCTAACACTGCCACTAATTAAACAAGATAATATCCAAGTCTAAGGTGATCAGAAACCTCCTAAAAGGAGGGAAGTAATCAATAATCACCTGTAGCCTTGTGGTGTTTCAGGCAGCTAAAGGAGAAGCTTTAACAAATTTAACTGAACAACTTTCAAACTGACTAATCACATCAGAGAAACAGCTGATAAAAAGAAATTACTATAATGCTGACTAACTATGCCATATATTTATTGATTACATCCAGTGCATGTGTGCTAGCTTTTCTGGTATTACAAGGCAATATGTAGAAGATAATAATCCAATAATTAAAATGTTTGATAATTTTGCCAAATTCCTACTCACAAAACATGAAAATTAAAATTCATCCAGGCAAAGAAAATCCCATTCATGCTGGTCAGTACATTACAAGCAGTGTATTGTGACAACGTGTTGTTGCAAATGCTAGTAGGGGGACAAATGGGGGTTTGGGATGCAGAGTATTAGGTGAAGGGTAAAAGAGTTAAAGCAGCAAATGGAAGTCGGATAACTACCACAAATACCTTTAGAGCAACAACAGCTGGTCATGTCACCAGTCATGGTTTCCCCATATGTGTGGCTGAGGACAGTGTCCACTCTAATGTGAGCACATTGACAGTAGCTTCCATTATTCAGACATTCAGTGCAGACGCTGTGCTGACAGCACATTTTGCAATGCACACCTTAGCTACAAAGCTTGCTTTCTGCGTGCTGTATATAAGAAAACAGTGGCTCTGTGGTTTCACGACTACATTCACGTGTGTGCTATGAAATGGGGATAAACTCACAGAACTATACTGATGATGCACTAAAATAAAACCGTTTGTGTAAGTTTTTACTCATGTGCACAACAATATTCAAGAAATAATTGAGAGCATAACTTGACATTAGTAAATGACATTCTGATTGTATTTCCATTTTTAATTAACAAACTGAAAGTGAAGTGACCCCAAAGCTATTGTGATAATTAGCTTTTAGACAGCTCACATAGAAAATCCATTGTCCTCAAACAAATACTAATGTGCTTTTGTGCCCACATCTGTCAATCCTACAGTACACACAGAAAAAGCCTCCACTCACTGTTAGTTTTATTGTTGTACTGGCTACATGTAGTCTGTGACTAGCTCAAGGAAGAAAAGAAAAGCTGCCCGGTTGCTTCAGTAAATGTAGATAGACAGAGAGAGTAATGCAGAGTATAGATTGCTGCAGTGGATATATTGCTGTTCGGAGCAGAATGTGCCCAGCAGAGCAGAATTAGTCTATCAACTAGCATAAGATAAAGCTTGAAAATATCCAGTCAGATAATGCACGGTCCTAGATATTGACTGCAGCAGAGCACCACAAAGCATCTTAATGTGAAGGTTATTGGTCGATCTGTTTGCATCGGATGTTGGGGAGAGAGAGCTTGGGAGCCAACCCAATGAACCTCATCCTCCTCTCCCTCTTTTATTCTGTTTCCCAAGAATCTTGTTGACTTGTTATTAATTTTGGCTTCATTTGAAGCCACCTGGTTATTCCAGTCACTTCTCTCCAATCACAGATTCCATTCTGGAGGGAACAGCTGCAGGAGCCAAAAGGCTTACGTACTCTTGTTTTATTTGGACAAAGTAGAGTATAGAACTGTTGGTAACACTTCCATTTAATGACGCTGGTTAGAAACTTTATTTGCTCTCTTTCTAAAACGCAAGCATGCCTAAGGGGTGCATGCTTCTGTGGGGAGAAAGCATTCATTTAACCAAATAATGTTACCTTGACCATACGACACAATAATGACAACAACAACAACAAAAACAAATATGTGTTGAACAAGAAAGCTACACACTCAACATGCAGACAATTAACCAGCCCAGTGAGCCTTGTTGGAGCTCCACCTTGTGCCTTTTGTCTCCGCGCTCTGCTATTTCCTCCGAGGCAAGGTTTTCTGCCTGTCTATGCATAACTACTGCCCCCCTATGGTCAAAGCCGTTCACTCACTTGTTTTACTGCACTGCAGCAGGCCCACACTCAGTGTAGAATAAAACAGGTCTAATTAGATCCTAAACCTTTCTTCTTTCTGAAAGATAAGACTTTAATCAATACAGCTTCAAGATTTCCTGTTTAAAAGCACCTTCTGCTCACTTGTGTACTTATTGCTTGCACATTTCAGTGTTTGTGCTCTACTGTGCTCTATGTGCAGAAGACACAGGAAAGTCTTTTTTTCATTAATTCATTTACAGGAAGTTACTCTCTGATAGGTTTTGTAGTATATTATTGTGCTTACTATGCACTTTACATACTTCATGAGACCACAAGGAATTTGCCACTTGTAGAATTGTAGTTCTTTTTCGGTTTTTCTGTGATACTCCAAGTTGTCTAGTGAACTAACAAACATTTTAACCATTGAGCTAATCCTTGTTGTTATTTTCATTTGATGAATATTGAATATTTATGAAACAAAAAAAAAGAATATTTACTTGTGGTTGATCAGTTCAAGCAAAACTTGATTTGTGACATAATGTATCACAACTTAATATATACATTAACATGTCTGATGTCTGGGGATTAAAGTGGGATAAGGCATGTGGGGGAACCCCACGTTGAAGTGCAGCAGGGGAAAAGAATTATATAGAAATAAGTCACATAACGTGTTCAGTGAGCTCCAGTAGGTTTTTCATCGTGTACAGACTCTGATCTGTGCTGCGACTGCTCGGAAGCTTCCTGTTTTTTGTGGATTGAGTGACCTGAATTCAACAAGATATCAGATGTTACACAAACTATGTGACTAATTTCCCAACTCTAGACAGAATAGAGCATAAAAGGCAGAAATCAGCGAGTGAATCTGCATCAGCATCATCACTTTAAATTAAATTTGCTAAGTTTGTAGCCTAACATTAACCATGAACATCACAGCTGTCCTGCGAGTTCAGCATTGTGCACCACTGTAAACTTCATCACAATGCTGCAGACCAACCAGTTCAGCCTGAACCATCGTGTACTAAAGTGCTTGTTTGCTTAGTTTTACAAAAACATCATAAACACATCGTGTTTAGGTCCAATATCTGATTTAAGAACTCTAATAATGGAACTTTACGAGTAAAGTTCTAGTTTCTAGTTTATAAAATTTTACTTGCTCAGCAGGCCTTAAGTTTGAAAATAATCTCTCACCTTCCTTGCCTGTACTGCCTTCTTACATGTTTCCGCATCTCTCTGTGCAACACATTAACTTTTCTCTCTCTCTCTCTCTGGAGTCCTTCATTGGAGAACTCATCACATTAACTCATCTGCCTGCCCACCCCCTGTGACTCTGTTCGCAGGCGTAAAACAAACTAGTGGCCATCATCCAAGGAGCCTTCCTGGATAAACCAGTAATCAACCTCCCTCACGTCAAATTTTAGCCATTAAAGTGGTCTTCCGGTTCGCTTTAGGTCCTGCTGACAAGACTTGTCAGTGCCCCCTCTTTCACCGCCTGCAACCCCCAACCATCAGCCCAGCAACCCACCATAACCCATCACCAGTTCAAGCCCTGGCTCCGACAGTCTCGGGCCGTTGTGTCCTTGGGCAAGACACTTCACCCGTTGCCTACTGGTGGTGGTCAGAGGGCCCAGTGGCGCCAGTGTCCGGCAGCCTCGCCTCTGTCAGTGCGCCCCAGGGCAGCTGTGGCTCCAGTGTAGCTTGCCATCACCTGTGTGTGAATGTGTGTGTGAATGGGTGGATGACTGACTGTAGTGTAAAGCACTTTGGGGTCCATAGGGACTGAGTAAAGCGCTATACAAATACAGGCCATTTATCATATAGTATCATCAACACAAAGCAGTTATAATCAATATGTCCTGAAACACATTTCGCACAGTTTTACTCTACTCACCTTAAACTATAAGTTATTTATTTCCTTCCAATCTACACCACTTCTTTTTTTTTTTACTGGACACGACAATATAACGACAATTAAAACCATAAAAAAGAATCTTACTCAGCACTGGTGTAAACTTTTAAAAAACCCTAACACAGAGAAAAAAAGTCTTTCTTGAGTCAATCAGATGAGAAGAGACAATGGCGTGTTTGTTTATAGTATTGTTTCATAGATGGGTGTCCTTGCTGGATTCCGGGAAAGGAACAAAACTTCCTCTGCTGCAGTCGCAGTCTCAGTGAAAGCAGACAGGCTCTCGGCGTGAGTGCATCATGGAGAGACCTGTTGCCGTGTCGGTGCGCAGGAGTCCCTCACTACCAGATTACAACACCTCAACCTCCACCTTGGCCTTTGACCAGCATTTCACTACAACTCTCAAAGGAATTCTCCTCCAGGCTGAGATAGTAAGTGTAACTTTTGAGTTTATGATCCTTTATCCTTGTACATTATCAGCACTGCTAAAATCAAGCTAATGACCAGAAGCAAGTGATTATTCATTCAGGAATCTTTGTCAGGAAGGGTGGTAATTTGGATGTTAACAATAGACATCAATAGAAATATAAAGCAACTTACAGTTATGGTAAAAATTTACATTAATAGCTGTGAAACACACAGGCAGCTAGAGACTAGAGACGGCTTAATAAGTGGTTGTTTTAAGACTCGAAATATACAGACAGGTCGTGAATTATGCTTTAATAATGATTGTTTTTCTAGAAGTTTTTCTATTTACACATTTTAAAGAAAAGTTATATTTCCCTTGAATGTTTTATGTTTCTATGAAAATCGGAAGTTGACCAAAAAACCCCAAGCAAATCAACTCTTCCTCCTTTTTCTCCCTCTTTGTCCCTCTTCCTTTCTAAATCAGCTGAAGGAAAAAGTCAGGATAGCCTTACTCTAAATACAGTCTGGCTGTCTGCCATTCAGAGGCTGGGCACGCCAGAGCTAAAATAATCTGATTTCAAACCATTGCAGTTAGGTTGTTAAGAAAAACCTAACAACTTTCTGGTTGGGTTTATGTTTGCAGATTTAAGAAACTGTTCCGTGACCATACAGATTGGCATATTAGTTGCAATTTTAGATCCAATACTTGCAGATAAAACTTGAAAATTAAACCATAGGAACTCCTCTTTAACTTCAAATCCTAACCTTTGGCTGAGTGCAGCAGGTGCACTGAACCATTTCAGAAACACAACAGGTTATTTTGTTAAGTTCCCGAGCACTAAATGATTTGATTTCAAAGGAAACCAAAACAGCTCACAGTCATGCTTCACACCAGAAAACAGTTTCTTCCTGTGATATGAAACATCCAGCAAGAATCTTTTGTCGTGGAGGGGAAGGGTGGGGATTGGAATAGTGTTGGGAGGAAGGAGATTTAGTCACTCACAACCACAGCACTCACCCACTCACTGAGATGGAGAATTAAAGCGATTAAAGTGACATGAAATACAGTTAGAGTTATGCGGTTTAATCATTTTTGACTTTAAAAAAGCTGAAAGTCTACACATCTTCAATCCACTGTGGTGCTGTAACGAGACAAAACTACAAACGTCATCTTTGGCCAACGAATTATCAGTCCAACCACATGCAATTTCTGGAGACGTATCTATATCATACATGAATTCAAAAGATACAGAGAGATTAGAGCTTCAGCCAGTATTGACTCTGTCTGCTCTCCTCCCCTCTCTTCTAGATATGTGGCATGTTAGTGTGGATTCTGGTTGGGGGTACAGACTATTTTCATCTGCCTGCTCTCTGCTGGGTGATGTTTCTTTCCATCTTGTTCTGGATTCTAACAGTTAGCCTGTTTATAATTTACCTCACTGGAGTCCAAAACAGGATACCACAGGTCCCCTGGACCACACTGGTAACTCACAGACACATGCAAATACTGCACAAACAAGCTGCTTTACTCTTTTTGTTAAAAACTATTTTTCCAGGATTTTGCAAATAGTTTTTAAAACCTGTAATTCTCTGTCTTTGTCTCTATCAGTCACTGTGCATTAATTGCATTGCTACTGCACTATATCTTGTGACAGCAGTAGTAGATGCTCTCTCCGTCAACCAGGACGTCAGGGGGCGACACAACTATAACTGCTGGGCAGCATCAGCGGTAAGAGCACCTACTATTTTTCAAGACAAAAAAGAAAGAAAGAATAGCAGAAAGCTATAAATGCAGCATTTCTACAAACACAGCGACTGAGCTACCATGGAGATTATTGGTCTGAAGTCTTGTTTTGTTTTGATAAGACAAAATATACTTTTATATCTCAAATGTTAGAGCTAGATCAGTAAGCATAACTTAAATAAAGTAAATTAAATTAATAAAATATGACAAAATAAGTAAAAAATAGAAAAAAACGTGTGTAAAAAGTCAGATATGATACAGTACAATGCATTATTAAGTCGCTTTAAAGATGGCAACTGATTGTAAGTGGTCGCATGCCTGAGCCGAGTCGTCCCAGCAACCATTTCAAAGGCACCAAAATTACAAGTTCATTACACACAACCGCTGTTTTCCCCAGTGTGACTGTAGCATAACTCCAATTTTAATCTGTACGTAACTTGGTGCTCAGCACTGAAACTGATAAGAAAGCTTGACCTGAAATTTTCTTAGTATTTCTCCACCAGAACTTTATATTCCTAAAATGGAAAGATTTTAAGTTTATATGTATGTGGGAACTTAAATGCTAAGGACAACATAATGGGTTGTACTGTAGACTGTTTCTGGGTGCTGTAAATGGAAGTCAAAAAATGTATATATAAAATAAAAATGTATATATATATGCATAAATACAAATATTATGTCCAAATCTAACTTCAGCCTGTTTTTGTGTCTGTTTTGTTTCCCCCTTTTTTTCTCATCTCCTCGTTCACCTCTCAGTTCTTTGCATTTCTGACCACACTTTGTTATGCAGGAAGCAGTTATCTGAGCTACCGTACATGGAAAACCACAGAAGAAGAGCAGTAGCGTCATTGCCTCTCATCTTATTGCAACATCCTTCTTTTTCTCTGTCAACACAAACGTTTGTGACTTCTGTGACCAAATTCTAACGAAGTAAAGTTCAGTAGAAAAATGAAAAGCCTGCTGTGACGGAGCAGCCACTTGTTTTCAGCATGTTTAACCTTTTTTGTGTGATGCAGCCGTGCAACCAGTGGTCTACATACAAGCAGTTTGAGAAGATAAAGCAGTGAAGGACGTAACATAAAAACCATGTGTACACATGTGTACAACGTGCGTTTGTTCTAATATCCAAAATGCTTTTTATTTTGTGTATTAATTTTTCTCTTGATTGCCACCAATTTCCAAAAAGATCAAGTCAAAAACGTGCTGCTCACAAAACACTGAACATTATACAACTTTATCCTTCAACCATAAAGCATAAATAAAAATAGTAAAATCATTTGTATAAGCTTTGTGTGATTTTGATTAAAAGTGCAAAATGTCACAGCTTCTTCACTGCTGCAAACGTGCAATTTTTTTTTCCACTGATGTCTTTTCATTTAATACCAAAAACCCCCACCTGTCATTAGCACATATTATATATTTAAACTTGGAAACAAACTAAACTCATCTTACATAATGACTGTTCTGTTTGTTCACAGGAAAACAGTAAACTGCAGACCCAATTTCCAAAAAAAGAAAAAAGTGTAATACAGTGCATCCACTTTGCTATTTTCTTAAGAGATTTTTTGTTCGATGTTTAATCAGTTCAGTTTTATTTATATAGCAACAAATCACAAAAAGATTAATCAGTGTTTCTGTCTTTCATTAATAACTTCATCTGTATTGCTGCCTTAATAAATGAACAACACTCCCCAGTGAGCTCCCAGGGATCGTAATCCCATTACCACTGAGTCGTCTGCTCAGCAGTCTGAGCTCTGCATCAGGGTGGGGTGGGTAGAAGTTAAAGGAGTCCTGCACTGCAGGACCAAAGGTCAGCACATTATGATGAACATTAGCATTGCACATGTCAACAAAGAGGAAATGTAACCAGTAAATGTACCAGACCTGAGTGGGCTGGCTGACAATCAGAGAGCGCCCTCTGGAGGTCCCAAATATCACCTGATAGATGTAGTTGTTATCAATTTTACAGAGATCTAAAATGTAGGCAAATAACTAATTTAAAACAGATTAATGATATAGATGATGATGATGCAAGTAGAGTAGAATACAAAGTAATTAAGTTAAAAACTATACACCACAAAAAAATAAAAATGGTTATAACGTGAAGCTAATATTTTAGCATCAAATGTCTCTGACCTGATCAACGGCCTCTCCATCAAACAGTTCCAGCTCTTGTGGGGTGCCATAGATGCGACCGACCACTTCGGCCCAACTGTTATTGTAGCGGAGCGGAGTTGTGACGCATACGTTACAGAAGAGGAAGAAAGCGCTTTTTCATTTTGACTCTGTTTGAACTACAAGTTTCTTTGGTCTGTCCATTCCCCATATTCTCCCTAAATATATTTTAATTTATTAACAATAATTAACCTGCAAGAATGCAACAATATTGTATATATAACTGTGTATGCAAACAAATCACTAACAAATATGACAATTTTACAGTTTCAAAAACGTAGGTATGGCCTCAAAATAGAAATGTCATGTTTTGTGCAAGCCACAAACTAATATTTAAGATCATATAAACAAGAATGACCGTCCTGTTTGTAATACAAATAGGAGCTCATGGCTGTCACACAGTGGCAGGTTGTTAATCACGAAATGCCTTTTGCTAGTCCTATACAGGGCTCTTTTCTTAAAAGTAATGCAGGATGCTACTCATTTACTCCAAGGAGAAACTACTACTTGTTACATTACTTTCACGTTTCTCTGTAAAATGACCTGAAACGCATTGTCCCATTATTACCAGTAAACAATATAAACCTGTAGGCTGCAGTCTCACACATCAACCCAAATCCCTATCCTTATGAGGACACACATATGATTTTTCTCTTAGTACTTAAGTATAAACAAAAAGCTGAAAACAGAAAGCAAAGATAAAAACCAGCACAAAGAAACAAAGCGATCCCCACAGTGATTCTGCTTTAGGGACATGAACAGGTCAAATCAGAGGCAGCAGCCTGACTGTTCATCTGTTTATTATCTTTTGAAGTTCAGGGTCTGGCTGCTGGGTTGGGGTCAGCATTCACTCAGCTTTAACATCACTCTTGGTTCTTGGCTAGTTTAATGTTAGCATGCTGTCTGTGTTAGCAATAACATTAATGTGGAAAGTGTAATTCCTGCTTAAGGAATTCAGGGCAAATCTCATCCAACCCTCAGGCACTGCCACCAAGGTTGTTTAATTTCCTCAGTGGCCTCATCTACAGTAACGAGGGATCATCTCCAGACTCTGCTTCCTCTACAGGAGGTGTGTCAATGAGACTGAGGAGATTCTTGAATAACACAGATGACAGTCAGAACCCATTCCTGACCCAAAGGCACAAAGAGACAACTGTCTCATCCACCAGGCAACACCCAGACATATAGGCAGTGAGCCAAGACAATCTCTGAATCTTTTTCAAATATGCATGAAAGAGTAAAGCCAGTCACACTGTCATGACCTGACACTGAACAGAGGAAGACAGAGGACTTAAATACACAGAAGGGTAATTAGTGTGTGAAGTGTGAACACCTGGGGAGACACAGCTGACACAATTGAACATGACGCCACAGGGGGGAATAAAATGAAACAAACTGAACATGGAAACACTAGACTCTTCAAAATAAAACAGAAAACATGGAGACACATAGACATGACAACACAAGCTTGACAATTAGAACATGAAACCGGGGGATAGACTAACGCACAGGCATACCTGAAAGTAAAACACTGAGGATAAGACAGACTACGCGGAGGACAAGAAAAGACTTAAAATTACAGAGTTATAGATGAAACCAAAACTATAATGAAACTCAACTAAATCCTAATGAATAATAACAACACAAGAACTAAACATATTTCCTATGTAACATAAGGAATCAAAAATACAAAATAAACTCAAATTGCTGGGTCACAAACAGCCCCTGATCCACACAGTGATAGTAGTGAAATCACCCTGTATTTGAAGACAAGCAGAAACACATGTTCTCAGTCTTGTATCAGAGGTCGAAGGATTGCTCACTACCAGAGGGCATTAACGCGTTACAACTAACACATTACTGTAATCCGATTACTTTTTTCACATAAAGTAAGGGTTTTCTATCACAAAAAAAGTCATTAGATTACTGTTACTTTCCCGTAAGCACGCTAAACCGCGATTTTGTTTGTCAGAGTGGCTCATCAAGAATGGATAATATGGAGTGCAGGAGAGAGTACGACCAAACAGCGTTTAAAGCATGAAAGTACTGACATTACTTTGAGTCTGATTCCATAAAAAGTGACAAAAACATTAGCGCCCGCTGTACTCTCTGCATGGGAATAAAACTGCTTTCTACAGCGATAAATTAAGCAATAAAGGAACTAATTACTTTTGAAAACAAGTAATCAATAAAGTAACAGGATTCGTTTTTGGAGAAGTTTGCATCTTCAAAGTTTGACAGGAGCTTACACTATGCACTCTTCTTGACTTTACTGAAGCTCCCAAAAAAGTAATTATCATATTACTATAAAACTGTAAAAAAGCATAAACATATTGCAAACATCATTACTGACAATACTATTACTCCACTTGGCACAGACCAAATGCTTTGACTTGAATACAAAAGGAAACAGATTCACTCCACACTTAAACATCAGTTATTTTGGCTGCAGTTACATTTGATCAGATCTAAAAAAATATCACTCTTAAAAAGATTTAAAACACAGTTACTCAGTTTACTCACGGACAGATCACACCACGTGATCTGCCATGGGTGACTACAACTGACTGCCAGAAGGTGGCACCGTGGTTCACAAAACCTCACAAACATTTAAACGCTCTCAGACTGAGAGCAAAACACATACAGTATATGAGTGTGACTTTACTTTACGACACAATAGTTGATATACTTTGACAGTATACTTTTTCCTATGCATATAGTGTCGGAAATGAAATGAAGGAGATGAGTGAAATGACAATTTTCGAGACAATAATAAAATGAAAGTGGCACTGACAAAGATACGTAAGGCAGAAAGCTGGAGGTGGTAGAGTTAAAGATGCTATGATTTTTGTTAAGCGTGGACACAAGAGACTCTGCCACAGGAAATGCTAATTACTCATGCATGTAATACACATACTGTATACATCCTCTGGCCACTTTATTAGTTGCACTTAATAATGTTTTGCCTTCAGAATAGCCTCAATTCTTCATGGCAGAGGTTCAGCGAGGTTCTGGAAACATTCCTCAGAGATTTTGCTCCATATTGACATGATGGCATCACGCCCTTGCTGCAGATTTCTCAGCTGCTCGTCCGAATGGATGCAAGTTTTTTTTGTCATGTGAATCACTTATCTCCCCAGTAGATGCCCTCATTGAGCTTCTAAACAGAATATTTGCGGCTTAGCACATATCTTCATACATCGATGAGCCGTGTATAATGGTACACAGTAAGGTACAGCTTTAGCCTGAATTTGTTAAATTGTCTGAGCTAATTCAGCTTTGCTTTTGCTATTGTTGCTCATTAGATGCTGATGTCCCACTGCAGAGGACTTATTTGTATCTCATGTGTGCTGAATTTGTATAAACTACAAAAGCAAAGCTGTTTCTTTATGTAATATTTAAATTCCCTAAGTGACCTTGTTGTTTTGTGACAGGAAGTGACCTGATTTGTGGCTCCTACGGTTATACTGGCAATCTTTATTTTGAATATAACTTCTGAGAATCATGAATGTTACGTACTCACTCAGCTTCCAAAGTTTAGCAAAAAATCTCTAAATCCTAGATGTCATCTTATGCATTTTCCTTACTGCTCCTTGGTCATAATGCTACGAGCCCTGGTTCCAGTAATGCTTAGATTTAAGCGTAATCCTTTTCAGTGTGGTCTTGTTGTTCTCTGCGAGCGCTGAGCATATTAATTCAGAAAACAAAAGCCTGGGAAGCTGTCCATGTGGCTTATTTACTGAAAAGCTGCAGAAAACCGGGGCTACGTCCACATTCCCTAAGCCTCTGTAGCAGGAAGGGCACTCACTCTTTTTGAAAATGTTTTGCACATTTTTGTTGAAAGTCAGCTAACCCTCAATGTGAATGTTAAAGCCATAACTGCATTTTAGCCTTGTTGCATTTATCTATAAAAAGTGCTCACTGACAACACAACACTGTTCCCTTCACAGTCCTGCTCATATTTAACAAGTTTTGTCTGCAGGCAAACAAATCAGATAAAATTGTGTAGCACTATTCCCTCCAAGAGATTTATCCGGTTGGGTGTGGGATTAAACCTTATCTCACAAACCATATCACCAA